AATTTAATATGGAAATGATCGGCAAAATTTTCAGCGGTGGCTTAGCCATTTGATGCAACTAAGCCGTTTGCACCATATATTCTAGAAACTTGAAAATTTTTTATTGTAAAAGATATATTCTTCACGTCCGCGTTAAATGTCACATGTATTAATTTTGGCCGGCATTACATAATTTTGCCCAGACGCGATGCATCGCACGTGCGATAACACATTTTATCTAAAATATCAAATTTCGTTACACATATTTAATGATCATCAGATCATTGATCAAACATTTATGTCGATCGATCTGATAATCAAAAAAATTTTTTTTTTTTTCGGATTTTTCCTATTGCGAAAATCAGGAAACACAAGATTATGGCTGATGAAAAAAAGCCTCTATTCATAAAGTCCAAAGATGAACGAACTTCCTTTTTTTTTTTTTTATTTTATTTTTTTATTTAATTCTATATTATTTAATAAATAATTAAGGTATGTTATTAATTCATCCATATTTGATGTAAAATATCTTTCTCATTTATACAAAGTTTTGATTTATTCTCCAAACAGATGACGGTAGAAACTAGTAATTTAAAAATCAAAAACTGGGATGCTATAAAAAATCCATTATATCCTGCTGAGGGTGCCGGTAACCAAACTTTTAGATTTTATAATCTTCTTGGTGTAATTTTAGGAGTTCCACTCTTCCTTATTATCTTCTATCGATTGAGTCTATGGGTTTACCCTTTTCTATTACTCCCACTTGGCTTGCTTATTTTCGCTGGTTATTTTCTTCGATCTTCCAAGTATGACTCCCCGTTTAATAACAAGGTTCAACTTCCGGGCAAAAGACTTGAAGAATATATTAGTATAAAAGATTCATCATTAGCTGCCTATTCTGGTCGTAATAAGATTCCAATGGAGATCTTTTTTGAGAGTTATTTTGATGGAAAAATTGATCTTTGTGGTGATGCTCTTGAAATTTTTGAATCTCGTCATGATTGGGCTTCATTTGAATTTACCATGGGTCAATTGAAATATTTTTTGACTCAATGGATACCTGAAACTTTGGTACATTCTAAAAAACAAGACGAAGACCAAGTTAGAGATCATTATGATCGTGGTGATGATTTCTATGCAGCATTTTTAGGGCCCAGAATGATTTACACATCTGGTATTATTTCAGATAATAATAAACGTGAGACACTTGAAGAAATTCAAGATAATAAATTAAAGCTTGTTTGTGAAAGGATGCGTATGAAAGCAGGTGAACGACATTTGGATATTGGATGTGGATGGGGAACACTTGTAGCGTATGCCGCCAAAAATTATGGTGTAAATTCTACTGGTATTACTCTTGGTCGTAACCAAACAGAATTTGGTAACAATCGAATTAAAGAATACGGTGTCAACGAACAACAGGCTCGTATAGTTTGTATGGATTACCGTGATATACCTAAACGCCCGAGGTATCACAAGATTACTTGCCTTGAAATGGCCGAACACGTTGGTGTTAAACTTTTCACAACCTTTCTAGAACAAGTTAGAGATATGCTTGAAGACGATGGTTTATTCTTCTTGCAAATTGCTGGATTACGGCGGTAAGTAATGGAACCATTTTTTTTTCTTTTTTTCGGATTTATTTAGAAATCACTAAGACCTTTATTCTTTTATTTATAGCACATGGCAGTATGAAGATTTCATATGGGGATTGTTTATGGCCAAATATATTTTTCCTGGTGCTGATGCTTCTTGCCCTTTAGGATGGGTGATTGATAAATTGGAAGTTTCAGGATTTGAAATTTATAGCGTTGATACAATTGGTGTACATTATTCAGGTACAATTTGGCGCTGGTACCAAAATTGGCTTAAAAATAAGGACACAATTACCGAAAAATATGGAAAGAGGTAAATAATTTCATAATTTTATCCAATCTTTTGGACTATATTAATATTTTTTTTAAAAAAAAAATTACTTTTTTTTTTTTTTAATTAGATGGTATCGGTAAGTAAATTATTTTTTTCTTCATTTTATTTTTATTTTTTTTTTAAAAAAAAAAAGATTTAATGATAAATAAATTTTTTTTTTTTTTTTCCTATTATTATAGAATTTGGGAAATTTTCTTAGCATGGTCAACTATAATTTCACGTCAGGGAAGTGCTACTTGTTATCAAATAGTAGCACATAAAAATTTGAATGCTTTCGATCGTGCTGAATTGATTTCGAAAAGACTTATATCTTAAATATATACATAACAAAATAATTTTAATTTGTACATAGCATGAAATATTTTATTTTGAGCTATTAAAGTAATCTAAGGTTATTTTCCCTTACTTTTTAATAAAATTTCTTAAGGTAAATAATACTTTGAAATCAATTTTATTTTGATTCAAAGTAATATTTTATAGACCTTATATTAAATTGTATGATGATATATTTGTAACAGACAAAATTATTTGAATTACAACAAAGTGTTTTTTGCTTTTTCCGTATACTGTCTTCTCAGAATCTTTATTTAAATTTCGATTTCACGAATTCCATCCTTATCACTAACTTTAACCTTAAAACCGGTAAGATTCGTGAAAAATCTAGTCTTTAATTCTTCTATACACTTTTTAGCGATTGCTTTAGCTTCATCCAGGGAAATATCTGGACGATGATATTTATCCAAGATACTCAAAGTGTAAAAAGCACCGTATCCATGAGCAGCATATGGCATGGTAGCATTGGTACCAAGATGATCGATCCAGTAAAGGTGTGGTAAAGACGTTGTTACATCATATCCCGCAATAAGGAGGTTGACGTTATAAGGTTTCTACAATGAAAATTAATAAATTATTCTGCCTTAATTGAAAGTTCATTAATTGATTTAAAAGGTCACTTACTCGACTTCTCACACTGTTAGCCATTTCTCTTCTAGTAAAAGTAGCCGTTGCCTTAGGTGTCAACTCAATTCCATTTTTAATCTCATAAAGTTTAACATTTCTTTGAATATATTCGGCAAAATGTAAGGTATCCCCTGGACTACCTGAATACAACATCAATACATGTTTATTAAGTTCTAGAGACTTGTCTTCATCATTCTTAAAAACAATGATAGATCTTGTTGCTGCTGTATCTGATATAGTAAGCGTAAAATCTTTTCCCGTCATTCCAAGAAGAAATTCCATTTTTTTTTATTTTTCCCTTTGAATAGTTTTTTTTTTTTTTTTTTTAATATTTATTTAAATTTTACATCATGTGACTGATTATGCAATGACTTACGAATATAAGATTATCAATAGACGAAACGTATATCAACAAGGATTATCTATAAAATTTTGTGAGCACGTACCAAATTCAAATTCGAACGTATCAGAGGATAATTGCTTAAAGGTTTTATGAGACTATCAAAAAACATATTTTTATATAAAAAACCAAAGAAAACAAAAAGCGTAACTTCGTTTCATTTTTTCAAGAATGTAACGAATTAACTCAAATAATACATGTAGTGAAATTTATTGATGAGTATCATTTTACTTACCTTTATTAAGTGGAGTAATCGAGTATGTATATATATCAAGTTGTATTATATCATTTTTTGTACTTCATAATAAAGTAACGTGTGTTGCGATTATATGGCCGAAATGGTCAAAAATGGTCAAAATGGTTTCGACTTTTAGGCAGAAAAATGGTCGAAATGGTTGAATTATGTCATATCACATGATTTTTTATAATTTAATAACTACACTCTTTCCGCCGATCACCTCGACCATAATTATGTCAGCAAATAAAAACAAGCCTTCAACCCATCAAACTATTAATAAAAACAAAGAAATCAAACAAAAATCAACTGAAGAACAAGTTGCTACTTCTTCTTCACAAATAAACAAATAAACTTTATTAACCAACAACAAAAATCAAAAAATGTTCACAGAAAACATGGGAACAAACTTCTCTCAATTCAGTCAACTCTTTCTATAATGAATTTTGATATAACAAATTTCACAATACAACAAATCTTTAGTATGATACAGATTTTATCATATAGAAAAATCTTATTATACTAAATTGTACTAGATAGAAATTTTTAGATGAAACATTTTTTATAATAGAAATTACTAAATTTAAAAAAATCTTGTAAAATTAACAAATAATAATGTGAGAAAAGACAGGCATTAAATCTATACAAAAATAATTTAAAAATATTAAAAAAAAATCTGAAGCTAGTTTGTTATTTCAAAATAAAGATTTTATAGAGATAGTTTAGCAATAGATTCAATAATTACAATTATAGAATTTATACAAAAATTAAAAAAAGTTATAAAAGTTACTGTTAAAGATAATGAATTATGTCATAAATAATTAAAATAAATCATGAGATCAATTAATTTCATTTTCAGATTATTAGCTTCTTACTAAACTTGATTTCTTTTATAGAGATTTTAATCATAGTATTATTACTTTTAATACTTCTAAGTTCTTAACTAGTTTAGAAAATTTAGTATTAAATGATCTTGTTTACAGAATTTTTAAACCTGAATTTAGATTAGTTTTCTTTTATCACATATAAATCTTTAGCTATTATGTTTTTCTCTAATAATTAAAAGAAAAAGTTTGTATTTTTTTAAAATCAGATTATTAATACTTTTTATTTAATCAAATAATAGATAAGACTTCACATATTGATCATTTCATTTATCAATATTTTATTTGTTTCACTAATAAAAATGATATCAGTTAACTATTCAAGTATACTTTCTAGATATATTCTTTTTACTTCAAATGTTTAAATTGATTTTTATATTTTTATTATTAATAAGGATAGAATTTTTCAAATTGATATTATATAAAAATGATCTTATATCTTCAAGAATTAACTGAAACAGTTTCTTATAGAATTATATTTTAGTTATCAACTTTCAAATTCTTTGTTATCCAATATAATTGATTTGTTGATCATGCCTTTATCACATATTTTTTTACTTAAAAGTATTTAATTTGCTCTTATTTATAATACTTCCTTTACTATGTATAGTCTCTAGTGAAAAGAATGATAGACACATTTTTGAAAATATGTAAAATTTTTATTATTAATTGCAATTGTTTTTTTTATTATTTATAGAATAATACTAACTCAATATTTTTTATTATATAATTAATATATTGTATAACCTCCTTCCAGTGATGTATATTTTTGATGTCTCAAAGATTTGTTGTCTCAGCTATATATCTCAATCTGTCTTACACTATATCTCATCTGTCCCATCTATCTTATTAGTTTTCCATCAATATCCTATAACAACACTGCCTCCTCCTGTATCGATGCATGCTTAAACCTAAAGTTCTAAACAGTTCAGTTCAGTCTGAATTAGATGTCAATCTGTATCTGAACTAAAAATTTCAGTTTAGTTCAGTTCAGATTATTAATCTTAAAAATGCCAATCTGAATCTGAACTGAACCGCAGACTAGTAAAAATCTGAACTGAATCAGAATTTTTAGATTAATCTAAAATTATATAAGGAATCTGCAATTTATAAAACTCTAGGAGAATCGCAAAAAATCACGAATTTCTCTTTGAGGTTTGCGAAATTCAAAGAGAAATCACAATTTTTTGCGATTCTTCAAGAATTTTATGATATTTTTTACAAAATATTAAGAAAAATCGCAAAAATTACGATTTTCTAAGAGTTTCATAATTTTTTGCGAAATTTGAAAAGAAATTGCAATTTTTTGTGACTTTTCAAGAGTTTCGCAATAATTTTGTGAAATTCTAAGAGAAATCGCAAAAATTGCGATTCTCCAAAGGTTTTGCAATTTTTTTACAAAATTCGAAAAGAAACTGCAAAAAATTGCGATTCTCTAAGAGTTTCGCTAAATTTTTGTGATCCTCTTAGAGAATTCGCAAATTTTGCAATCCTCTAAGAGTTTCATATATAATCGAACTGAACTTTCAGATTAATCCAAAATTATCAGTTCAATTCAGATTTTTTTCAGTTTGGATTAGAATTATAATCTGAAAAAATTCTGAACTGAACTGAAAATTTTTGGATCAATTTTTATGCAATCTGAAAATGATCTAAACCAATCTGATCTGAAAAATCTTCAGATTAATCTGAACCGTTCAGAGCTTTACTTGAACCTGACTTGATATACTTTTAATGAACTGAAGTAATATATCATTATTGAGATCATCTTATTGCTACCAGATTATGATAAGAAAAATTTATTAAGAGATTTATTTATCTTTTGTTACCAAATCCTTGACTTTTCTCTCAATAGTTCTCTTTAAAACAGCTCATATATTCTCAATAGGATTCAGGTCTAAGCTGTATAAAAGTCTAAAAAGAATTTACCTTGAAAGACGATTATTCAAGTCATATTAAATGTTTCAAGAGATTTATTATGATTATTTTTCTTGTAAAAACAGAAACGTAAATAAGATTTGTGAGCTCACTACGTATAATACGCTAACTGATCTTAAGTTCGTGATCATTTTCTTCTTAATTTGCTTTATTTTACCAGCTATAATGAAATAACTGTTCTATAAAGATTTTCAATTAGTGGCATTTTTTTAGGTTTCCTCAGTTGGTCAGATAAGTATTCTATAAAAATATTACCAATTTTACATAGAATACTAGTATATTATTCATATGAACTTCTAATTTTTGTAAAACTTTTTTTGCATTACAGATATTTTGCTGCATAAGTGACTTAACAGAGTTTCATTATATTTTAAAAGAAAATAGTATTATTTTGCAGATAAAATTAAAAAATAGAAATAACAAATAATTTTTACAGCTTACCTTTTAAAATTAGCATTTTATTATCTGATTTGGTAAATTAATAATAGTTCAAAATCAGAAAAGTAGAGACGCTGCAGCTGAATATAGATGCAGTATATCTACTAACATTTTTTTTTACTAAGAATTGTATACTAATAACTTTTTATATCCACTATATTAATATCTTATGAAATCAATCTCCCTATAAAAAATTTGTATACGTTTTTTCATTATTATAAATAAGTTTTGTATACGTTTTTTAAAATTCTGTATCACATTTTCTTATATTTTATA